AAAGAACTCCTGATTTTGAGAGGTGTAGCGTAGAAATACCTAATGGCTCCTTTCTTAACAGGGTCAATCAAACCCTCACTACATCTAAAGTTAAAATACTGGAAGCACAATCACTTCCATGTCAGAAGCAAGACAAGCATCACCCCTCTTAAGCAGTGCATGTGTTTATATATTGAGTAATTAGACAAAAAGAAAGAGAGGAAGGAGGGAGGAAAAAGTCAAGGGAGGAAGAGAAGGGAAAGAAAAAAGAAAGAAGAAAAGTTTACAGAACAATATCCTTGATTAGGGATCAGCAAACATTTTCTGTAAAAGGCCAGACTGAATATTTTAGCACGTGGCATCCCTTCTCCTTGGACTCAGCATTGCAGTTACTGTGCAGACGTTGCCATAGGCAAAACCTAAGGGAAGGAACTCAACTGGGCTTCATCCAGTAATCTCCACTATGGACACTGAAATTTCAATTCCATGTAATTTTCACATGTTATAAAATATGATTCTTTCTTTGATCCTCCCCCCCACTACCCATTTAAAAATGTTAAAATAATTCTTAGCTCCTGCATTGTCCAAAAACAGATGGGGCAGATTTGGTAACCCTATCCTAGATCATTTGAACAGTGATTCACTTGGGGAAGTGAACTTGAGGGGTGTGTGTGTGTGTGTGTGTGTGTGTGTATGTATGTGTGTTTGTGTGTTGGGTGGGGTGCCCAATGAAATGCAGTACTGAAGGGAAAAAAGAATTTTACTTTTTGTTTTGATACAACTCTATACTTGAAAGATGTTGGACCATAATTATGGATTAATTATTTAAAAATTTTAATCTATTAGATAAATATAATCACACTTACTATCTAATTGCCTGTTTTCCTTTTTTTTTTTTTTTTTTTGCATAGTGAGGTAAAGGGTGTTCTAGAAAGACTGTAAAGAGTAATCAAATTATTAAAATGTTGAATTCTAACACAGGGTTTTCTTTTCTCTCTTGGTTGAAAAGGACCTGGTCGCCTTAAGCTGTTAATTGCATTCCTGTCAACAGAGCAACCCTTAGGAATTTCTGTTTGCTTTATATCTAATCTGCAAGCCTCGCTGAACTTTCATTGAGAACAATGGTGTATACACACAGTTCCTGCATTCAGACCAGTTCCTTTCTTCCCCCCTGATTTTTTTCCTGGTGTTGAACTCCAGCCAAACATTAAGTTACCTTGGGAAGTAAAAGGTAGAAGAGAGAAGAAAAAAAATCCCAAAGGTTGTATTTGGCCTCATTTTAAAAGGACACTCAATCTGAATTCAGAGAACAAGAGAAGTGTTTTTAGCATGAGGAGCATGAGAACTGGAGAGAAGTCCAGGGCTCTTTAGACAGCCCTGTTTTTGTATGTTTGCAGGTGAGTGTGCTCTGGTTTCCATGCAGGTGGGACTGCAGGGCAGGGGTGTGGGTGTGTGTGCTTGCCTAGGTCTATAAATCCACGCCCATTTTTTAACCAGAAACATCCAGAATACACTTCCAGCAAGAGCACTGGCTAGTTCAGGTAAGCAATTATTTAATCAGCGGTTAAGCTCTGCTATAATCAAGTATTCCACGTACTGCTATTCCGATGTGAGGTCTTCAGAAGAGGGTGGGGAATGTTTCATAAAATTGCATATTTTTCTTTTAATGCACTGGATTCTCTTTGCTGGCATTGTGCTTTTATTTTCTATGATGTTGTTATAAACTAGCATTGACCAAAAATGATCCTTCAAAAAAGTATGCTACAAGTAACACTTGTTTTTCCCTGTTTTCTTTTCAATGTTTTCTTTTTAAAATAGAAATTTTATATGACATCTAAATAAATGGTTTATGTTAATGTACTTTTAAAAAAGTAAAATATTAGTGTCAAAAAAATATGAGGTGCTCACTGGCCAATGTTTACAACATCTAATTGCAGCCATCAGGTTATGGCCTCCTGAGCGGCTGCCGTAAGGCTGTCACCATGACATTGCCATGGGTTCCCCAGCAGCTTAGCCTGGCACTGGGGTGTGGGAACCCTCAGTAGTCAGCATTTTCTTTTCCCGAGGAAAAACATGTTCGTCTGAAAATAAAAATATATAAATCGATCAGCTTTATCATAGAATATATTTAATATATCTTTTGCATTCTTTTACCAGAGAATGTAAAGCAAAAATTCAATATTTTGACTTTTTTAAGAACTGTCTTTAACAATAATACATAATAACTTGAAATTTGAAAAGTGTGATTCCCATTCTACTCTAAACTTGGCAGCTCTCAGTCAGAAAGGCATGAGGTTACACTTTCTCTGTTTGAACATAGATTTCACCTACTTTTCTGCCTCAACCACAGAGAACCTTTCCTGATGCTGCCTTCAGATTAGCTTCCTTAACCCTGCTTTCCATCCAATGCCCTTTGGAGAATCTTCAGGCATCTTCCCCAGGAAAATGGGCTGAGGCTCATAAAATTTTACGTAGAATTTCAGGTTGTTTTGAGCCTCCTGTCACTGAATCATAGACTTTTTGAGAGGTCACTGGATCGAGGTTAAGACCCTGCCCTAGATGGTTGCTTCAATTTCTCTGGCTGCAATTTTCAGCCTGAAAAAGAGTATCCTCCCAACTTTGGACTCTGTGGTCCAGATTCAGATGCCTCTTTTTTCTACTAAAATCTACCTCCTTTTTTTTTCAGTCTTTAAGGTAGAAGATGACCAGTCCTTAAGGCATAAGAAGGCATTCTGAATGCTTTATGGTATTAATAACTTACAAGAACCTGATTTGTCATTCTTATCAGGCACCATGGTTCTTTTTTAACAGGGTTTTTTAATAAAAATTAAGCACAAAGAAATTAAAAAATGGGTTCATTGCAGATTAGGAAGGGAAATGATTTAAATAGAGGGGGATTGCAGGGAGAGACCACTGACAAGGAAAAGATGCTGGTTGAGGGGAATAAGAAAGCGACTAGAGAACCCTAGAATCTATAAACTCCCCACCACTGAATTGTTCTCTCTATGACTATGATTGCTATAATACATAATGAACTTTTTAACACTGTCAAACAGTAAGTTATTTTAAGGTGCATTTGGCTTATTAATCTTTCAATTTACCACAATGCCTAATACAGTTACATATAGCAATATTCATGTTTGTGCAGAATCGCAAAATGGTCATTCTCTTTTTTTGGTGGGAAATTCACTATTAAGTAATGTAAGTCCACAGGAAAACTGCTCTGAAGGAATCTATATAATAAAAGGCTAATATGCAAACTGACCAAATGGCAGACTGATTGCTATGATGCACACTGACCACCAGGGGACAGGCTCTCAACACAGGAGCTGCCCCCTGGTGGTCAGTGCACTCTCACAGGGGGAGCACTGCTGAGCCAGAAGCCCGGCTTAGGGCTGGCAAGCCTAGTGGCAGTAGTAGGAGCCTCTCCCATCTCCGCAGCAGTGCTAAGGATGTCTGGCTGCCAGCTTAGGCCAACTCCCTGGGCCTAAGGATGTCAGTCAGATATCCCCAGAGGGGTCCCGAACTGAAAGAGGGTGAAGGCCAGGCTGAGGGACACCCAAGTGTACAAGTTCTGTGCACCAGGTCACTGGTTTTAAATAAACATGAAAGATGTCTGTACATTTATTTTATATGTTGCAATAATTTCAAAACAGCACATGTTAACTACTTTTCACATGGGTTTTATATGCCACAAATGCTTTAACTGTACATCTAACAAGCATTATACATATCATATAAGATATTTATCAAGTGGTTGAAGTCTGGCTCAGATCCAACTCTAGACTTTTCATTATATCTTTTTTTTTCTTTTTCTTTTTTTTAAAATATATTTTATTGATTTTTTACAGAGAGGAAGGGAGAGGGACAGAGAGTTAGAAAAACCAGTGAGATAGAATCATCGATTAGCTGCCTCTTGCACACCCCCTAATGGGGATGTGCCCGCAACCAAGGTACATGCCCCCAACCAGAATCGAACCTGAGACCTTTCAGTCCGCAGGCCAACGCTCTATCTACTGAGCCAAACCGGTTTTGGCTAGACTTTTCATTATATCTTAATTTGCAGAGTATAAGGGATAGTACATTGACTTAAAAATCCATTTGAATCCTAGCTAACCAACGGATAACTATAGATGCAGCAAACCTGTTCTTCTTTACACTTGTATTTAATTTATAGCAATCTGACAATAAACTTGATTGCTAAAAGAGCTGGTTTGTAAGCTGAAAGGCAAAAGGCTGAGTCACTGATGCAAGAATGAAAATGATAAATGACTACAGAGGACTTGAAAAACAAGAATCTCCAAATTCTATTTTTTCCTCTGAACTCAAATGTAAGCAATAGTGTTCATGCCTAATCATATTATCTTGGCACAGAGATCAAGAAGAGTCAAAGGAATATGCATGCATGCCAAAAGTCACTTTGCATTGCACTTTAGAGTTGAAAGGCCTTTAATAAACCTGATCTTATATGAGTGTCACTGTAGAGCTGTGAGCACTAAAACACAGTCTAATGTGAGTTTTGAGTGCCCTGATCCAGTTTTCTTTCAATGTCATTGGACTGCTCCCAGCATGCCCAGAATGTGGTTTTTCACCAAGTGGACATTATTGAGTTGATAGCATTTTAAAAATATTTTATAAATAGCAAGTGAATGAGCCCTGACCGGTTTGGCTCAGTGGATAGAGAGTTGGCCTGCGGACTCAAGGGTTCCAGGTTCGATCCCGGTCAAGGGCATATACCTTGGCTGTGGGAACATCCCCAGTAGGGAGTGTGCAAGAGGCAACTGATCAATATTTCTCTCTCATTGATATTTCTGTCTATCCCTCTTCTTTCCTCTCTGTAAAAAAAATCAATAAAATAAAAATAAATAGCAAGTGAATGAGAGTTCTGGGAGGTTTTACCATGTCAACTCACACAAGCAGAGCAAACTCTGATTCTTAAATGACTGCTGGAAGTAACTACTAGATTCTGAACATTCTTTTCTAGCACCTAGCTTCTTCTGAGGGATTCTCGAGAACACGTGATGTTACCCTCAGCTTTGGCCCTCTGCCTCTTCCTGGTTGCAGTTTCTTCCAACCTTGCCATCGCCATCAAGAAAGAGAAGAGGCCTCCTCAGACACTCTCAAGAGGTACTAGAATCTCATTTTATTCCCTATATGCAGCCATTTGGATGGTTTTCAAATTCCTAGTCTCTTATCCATACTTTACATTTAAAGCAAACTCAATGAACTGGAACATTTTGCTGTTTACCACATTAAAGTAGGCAAAAACAAAACCCAGAAAAGAGCAGTTGATTTTAAAGACTGAACCAGCCCTAGCTGATGTTGTTGTCTCAATTTGTTGAGCATTGACCCACACACCAAGAGGCAACCAGTTTCCGGGTAGGGCTTGAGTTGCCAGCTCAATCCCCAGTAGGAGCCATGTAAGAGGCAGTCAATTGATGTTTTTCCTCATCTCCCTTCATCTATCAATATAAACATATATATTTTTTAAGTTTAAAAAAAAGTGAATCAAAGCAATTGAAAACCAATAATAATTTGCTATAGTGTTTATAGAAATAGTGATGAATTGGTTAGGTGGCCTATAACTTTGGTAACCAGAGTCCTAGGAAATAATAATTGATGTCATAATGATATCTTAAAGGAAATTAAGATCTCTCAAAATCTGTTCCAATTCCCTATCTTCTATTCATGCAAAAATAATCATTTGGAATGATTTTATATCATAATCCCCAGAAATTAAATTTTATTCTATCCTCTAAAAAATTTGGGTAAACAAATGTTTGCTATATTGACTCGAAAAAAACAACTGCAGTGGTTTTTGACATCATAATCCAGGTCTATCATTGGCTACCTGTTTAGAAAGCATTTCTATTTTGTACTTAGTACTTTCCTTTGACCTAAAAAACAAATATATCTTCATCTGTAAAGAAACAGTTTATAGAGAAAATTCTCAAAATCAGCTCCTACATTTCCAGGTAACAAAAATGGGAGAAAAATCATTTATCTCCATATAGCTAATTTAAAAATAGTAGTACAAATCTTAAAACACTTGACCACTACTTGGAATAGTATATAAATGGAGCAAACAAATGGAGACCGATTATAACATAATTTCAAATTTTAAAATATTGACTTTCCAAGTTTGTGATTTCTTAACAGTTGTATTGAGCACTAGCCAATTAGCCATCAAAGTTCAGCCAAGTTATTTCATTCTGCTTTAGTTCAAAACCACAAAAACTATAAACTAAAAAGACTAGCAAGTTTTGAAAAAGAAGTAAATTAAAAAAAAGAAGAAAAATATTTTCCTAAATATAATTTATCATGAATCTCTCTGTATAAACACAAGAGTTATAAAGCAATGAGCTCAGTAGTCTTGAGTGGTATACTAAAATTATCATAGCTAAAAATAGAATTGTGGTAATGAACCAAGTCATTGAAGAGAGGTCAAGCTCAGTATCACTTTTGGCCTATTGTTATTATGAGACAAAGTGTATAACCAATAATAATGCAATATGGCTCCTCTACAATGAAATTCCTGAGAGCAGGGATTATATTATCTCACCTTTACATACCCAGTGCTGGAGGAGTAAGGCATAGAGCAGATTTGTAAGACTAAGTGGAACAGGAGCAGAGAATAATAATCCCTCCTCTTGCTGAAATTCCATCATTGAGTGATATTTTCCACAGAATAGAAAAATTAAATAGGATCCCAGTCTCACTGGCTGTTTCTGAATAACTCTTATTTAGTGCAAAATATGGTGTGAAATTACTACAGCAAAGTTGTAAAGAAACTCTTTCAGGATTATTACAGATAGAAGGGGTATTAAACCAACATAATATGTCTTCCAATGTTAAGCTACTAAAATCAGGCAAAAACAAGTCAATAACATTACTAGTGAGAGTACAAAATAGCACAATCATTTGAATAAAATCTAACAATTCTTTAACTGATTAAATGTACATACCATGTGACCCAGCAATTCTATTCCTAAGTAGATATCCCAAGATAAAAATATATTCACACAAAAGCTTGTATACTAATGTTCACAGCAGCATTATTCATAAAAGGCAAAAAGTAGAAACAACCCCAGTGCTCAACTGATGAATGAATAAAATGGGATATATCCATACAATGGAATAATATTTGGCTATATAAAGGAAAGAAGTGATAATACATGACACAACTCAGATGAACCTTGAAAACATTATATCAAGTAAAAACATCCAGTCACAAGACTACATATTGTATGATTCCATTTATATGAAATATCTAGAATAAAAAATGTATAGAGACATAAAGTAGATTAGGTATTTTTTTTTAGGGTTTGTGGGAGAAGGGGGAGTAAGGGGATGATAGCTAAAGGGTACCGGGGTTTTATTTGAAGCTATGAAAATGTTCTAGGATTGATTATGGTGATAGTTGCACAACTTAGTGTATATATATATTTTTTAAAAGTGCACTTTCAATGGATAAATTGCATTTGCATGTGGATTACATTTAAATACAGTTGTTACCAAAAAGTAAACAAAGCAAAAAAAAAAAACACAAAAAAACAACAAGCAAAAATCATGGAAATGTGTTTATCTTACTTTATAATACTGCTTCATAATTTTTGGCCATCTTGTAGCCATGGTATCAAAATCAGAAACTGCAGTCTGACAACATGGGAAACATACAGGAAAATCTGGGTCTAAATTAGCATAGAAATATCTCTATTTTCAAATTGATTCAATCTTTCTTACCCATAAACCAAGACACTTCCTGAAAATACCCTGTAGTATTTCTAATTGTCTTTTGTGTGTTCTTCTCAATGATCTTATTCTTTAATCTCTAAAACACATTCCCAATTACCTTTATCACTTTTGTAAAAGCTAGTGGATCTCTCTCTATTCATTGTTTTCTGTTTCTCTAGCCTTTTTTCTTCTGAATGCTTCAAGGACACCTGTGTTTATTGTGTGTCTCCACCATGAAACAACAGATTTTTCCCGAATCAAAATATTGAAACAAAAATTTGGAATTCTTTTTTCCATTTTCACGATGTTTAAGGATTTAGAAGGGGTCAGTATTCCTTGGCACTCAAAATACAAGGGTACTATATAGTATGGTTCAAAGGTATTCCTATTAGACTTACAAAGTGTACAAAGATTAACTGTTATTTTCTGCTGTTCATTCTGAAATCAGAGGTTTTGCACAGTCCAGAGATGTCCTTTCAATCATCACTAACAATAGCATTTATTGAGCACTTTCTGGGTTCAAGGCCCTGGACCTTTAGTGTTGAAACCAAATCACAAAATCTCAGCCCTATGATCTGTAAGGATACCACCTCTTCATATCTAATTATAATTATACTAGAGGCCCAGTGCATGATTTGTGCATGGGGTTGGGGGGGTGGGACTGCAAGAGGTTGGCTGGCCTGGGGGAGGAACTGTGGGCGGTTGGCCAGCTGCTGGAAGTTGCCTGTGGGAACACACTGATCCCCAGGGGGCAGCTCCTGCATTGAGCACCTGCCCCCTGGTAGTCAGTGCTCATCATAGCGACTGGTCAACCAGTTGTTCTGGTTCTGGTTGTTCTGTCATAACAGTCACTTAGGCATATATATATATATATATATATATATATATATATATATATATATATATATATATATATTACTTCTATACCGTATACCAGGCAACTGCTTGGTAGCTTACTAGTAAGTATCTGTAGATAGATATCTGCTTGTCACATGCCTACTTCGGAGCTCCTCTGTGATCCTGAATCAATGCATTGATTTCTCTTCTATTCTAGGATGGGGAGATGACATTACTTGGGTACAGACTTATGAAGAAGGTCTCTTCCATATTCAAAAAAGGTAAAACACCTCTCTGTTAATTTTGACAGACCATATAGATACCTCTCACAGAAGAGCCAAACCTTGCAAGTTAGCTTTTGAAAAGATATCACACGCATTTGCTCTACTATCATGCAACTAAGAGTTGCCATTAGAATGTTTTTTTTACAAACAAAAACTCTAAATTAATTTCTTTTTAAATATTTTTATTGATTTTTAGAGAGGGAGGGAGAGAGAGAAACATTTATGCAAGAACCAAATGTTGATCAACTGCTTCCTACACACCCCCTACACCCAGAAACTGAGCCCACAACCTGGGCATGTGCCCTAATCAGGAATTGAACTGGCAACCTTGTGGTGCCTGGGACAATACCCAACCAATTGAGACACACTGGCCAGGGCTCTATTAATTTCTTAATTGACCAAGCAAGCTTTTGAATACAAGTTATATAAAAGAACAATATCCTTCAGTAGGCACAAAAACTTTTTCTCAGAGTGTTAAAACCAAAATGAAACCAAAAATGTTGAGAGAGGGAACTCTCACTGAGATTGTTTGTATACTGTGAGTTGTTACAAGAATGATAGGATGTAAAAATAGTCAAATATTAATAGCATTTTTGCAAAAACTAAAAAACAAAAACAAAAACACACACACACACACACAAAACACCAAAACTGAAATAAAAACTTTGACTCTCCTGAACTCTTATACCAGATGTTCATTAGCAATTAATATCTTGTTTATTATATCCTTTGATCTCTTGAGACAATTAATTTTTACTCTTATAACTAATACAATGTGCACAGCAATCTGGTGGTGAGCTTGTTAAGCTTCAGATTCCTGGACCCCACCACAGAGAGCCTGAGTTGGTCTGGGAGGGAGAATTTCCACTTCTACTGAGCTACCTGGCAATGCTAAAGTCCTAGGGCTATGTACTGGGTAACACTGCTACAGACTGCATTGCTATGCTGTGTCAATCAGATTTTTACTCTAAATCTTGTTATAAGTGTGAAAACCTTAAATCTAATTTCAATGTGCATTCTGACTCAGAGTTAGTCACCTGACTCAGCTCCACACTCTTTCTGTTTAGCAACAAGCCACTGATGGTCATTCATCACTTGGAGGATTGTCAATACTGCCAAGGTAATTCAGCTTCTCAGATCGTATTATATTTCCAAGAGAACTAGAAAAAGTGACCTGGTAAAAGACAGCGCTCAGGAAATCCCCCCCCCCCAAAAAAAAGACAACTGCTATATCACTGTATCACCATTTTACTCAGTGCTTATAGACTACAATGATGGATAGCAATCTATTGAATAGAGTTTTATTTCCCTTTTATTTCCACCAAAAATAAAAGGAGGGGTGTGTGAAAAAAACTTGCTGTTTGTACCAATGTGTTACATAAAATTATAAAATTGGTGGCTTCATTAAATTGGAATATAACTCTGATATCTTCCTAGGCAGACTCTATCCATTGTTGCTTCTCAGTGAAAGACAAAGTGGCCAGAGGCTAATGAACTGGTTACAGCCAAGATACAAACACAAACAAATAGGAAATACTAGTTTGACTTTGCTATGTTATTTATAGTGAAGGCGTCTTTATCCTTAAAGCTGACTGGTGTTCATGTTATGTTATCCTCAACAGCACTCAAAACAGTGTTTGCCCAAAATGAAGAAATACAAGAAATGGCTCAGAATAATTTCATCATGCTGAATCTCATGGTACTTGGCCACTACAATGTTTTCTTCATATCACAATTCAATGGAAAGCTTAAATCCCTTTTTTTTAACTCTATTTTTAAGACAAAAAGAGGTATAAAAATTTTGTAGGTATAAAATGTTATAGGAATTTAAAAAGGCAAAAATATATAATTTAATAAAAAAACTTGTTCATATAAAATATTTTCAAAAACAACTGACAAAAACAATACAATCTGATACCAATTATTTTTTTGCCTTTTCTTCCTAGCATGAGACCACAGATAAAAATCTATCACCAGATGGCCACTATGTTCCTAGGATCATGTTTGTGGGTATGTGTATAATCTCATTCCATGAGGTTTACAAAATCAATAGCATTCTTATTTTATTTATTTTAAATGCTAGTTCAAAGGAAGTCAAGTCTAACCCAGTAAATAATAACTCTTGTTAGCTCTATAATTAAAATTCGTTGCATCTATAATGTATAAATTTAAATATTTTTAAAACTAATGATCCTATTAAACCAATAACCCAATATACTTTCTGTAAAGTTTTCCAAACTGTATTGACAGAAAACTATGACACACTAAAATGGAAAAATTCATGTTAACTCATCATAAATTTGTTTAACATTTATTTGTTTTAGATTAAGAGGCAAGAATGATTTTAAAAACATTTAGATAATGCATTAGTGAATTATTTTTTCTTTGCAGATCCTTCTTTAACAGTCAGAGCTGATATAACTGGAAGGTACTCTAATAGACTGTATACATATGAACCACAGGATTTACCAATATGTAAGCATTCACAGATTATCTTGAACAGTGGGACTTTAGAAAGGTCAAAAAGGTCCATGATGCCCTACATCAGTGCTTCCCCACAAGCAGTACTATCAACGAATCAGAATACTGGGTTACATGGTGGTGTTAGTGTTTAAAAATGCAAATCCTTGCACCACCAGCGTGTCTCTGTGGTTAAGGGGTTCAAATGAGGTATATTAAGGCATAATATTCTTTAATGTTGTAAATAAATTCCATGTTTTCACAGCCATTAATTTAAATGAGAGAATTTTAGATTTCAGGGGTTAAAAGAACATACTATCTGGTACTTTCATTTACTAACAGAATAATATTTTTATTATATTTCAGTGATAGAAAACATGAAGAAAGCATTGAAACTTATTCAATCAGAGTTATAAGAGATTACCTCGAGGAGGTCAAATGTCATGAAGACGACCTTGTGGTGAATTTACTAATACTAAATGTGCAACTAGATGGCCTCTGTAATGTTACCATTTAGATTTTTAATGTGTTTGAAATATTCTTATGAAGGTAAAGTTACATTTCAATAAAGGTCAAAACCTGAGCATAATAATGTAGCATCAGCTTGACTTCTGTCTGTATCAGTAGCAAAGGAAGCTTGCCACGAACTAGGAGTGAGATTAGGATAGAGAAAGGGCGGCCAGAAGAGACACCTAAGCCACTGGTTGTCTTCACTTCCGCCTGTCCCTGTCCCTCCACCATGTAATCTAAGTTTAATTCTGCTCCTCCACTGTTCTGAACCTGCCGGTATAAATCATTAGTAATGGGCATGCTGCCAGAGAAGATGGAGACACTGGCTATTTGCACTTTTAACAGCATATTTCAGAGTTAACCATTTGCTTCTTTTCTTACCTTAAATTTAAAAATTAATTGTAATAAATTTAAAACATACTTAAAAATTTTAACGGTGTGTTTTCCTTAATTATTCCTTAATTATTGGGTGGATCTGTAATACCAGTATTTTTAATAATTTTAGGATAAGTGTCCCTGCCTCTAGAAGACTGAAAATGTTTTTCCAAGTAACTGTCAGGAGAGGGTTACATCCTTCAGAAATTATCAAACACACAACTGCCAGATCAATTCTTCACAGAAAGCTCTGGAGGATCACTACCATGTCTTCTATTCCTTTAAATTCCTAATTTTTTAATAGAAAAACTTCCCAGAATCTGCTGGGAGAAATTCTCAGAAGTGAGAGAATGTTTGAGACAGACCAAAATGTTCCCAATCCATAGGACTTGATTGAATTAAAATAATTTTAATTATTTTGATATATAAAAGTGCACTTTAATATGAGATAAATGTGTAAAAATACAATGTCTATGATATAGATTTTTTTTTATTAATTCCAATGTTTCATGATTCAGAAAAAAAAAAAAAGTTTTTCCAAGTTTTATTTTATCACTATTCCATTCACTTTAGTATCTGACTTGTTGGATATGAGGAGTTTATCTGACCAATAACTAGATATCAGTGCTAGATATCCATGTGGAAAAGAACATTAAATATCTTATTTTAAGTTTTTTAATTTTAGACCAAAGTCTGGAAGTTGATTTTTTTAATGAAAGCTAAGACATCCAAGTGCATTGGCATTCTATAACTTAATGACTTAAAATATGATAACTAAGGTAATAGAGCTGATTACATTGTTACATTAGTAATGCAGAGGCAGAAAATGTCAGTGGTCATTTGCTGTGAAGTAAGAAAAGGTCAATTGCTCTTTTAAGAATAAATAAAATAAAACGTTCACTATTTTTCCTCAATTATCATTCCTCAATTACTGAATGATAAGTTTATTCTTCTTTATCACAAAAATGTATGTGCCTTTGTATTTAAACATACATGTGATTATATATTATTATGTGCAATTTAATTGTGGATATAATCATAGAGGCTAATATTTAATATACATATACACCACAATCATTTGGTTAGTTACATTAGTCAGCATAATCTTGTAACCAATTCAGTTTTGTTCTCTACCCTACTTCAACAATTTAACTCTTTATCCTACTTGATATTTCTATATAATTTCTTCACTTTATGAAATTAGTGGTTTAGATTTTATCAATTCTGAGGTTACCCCTAACTTCAAAATGTAGAACTGTCTTTAGAATATATATATACAGGATGGAGCAAAAGTTGGTTTACAGTTGTTCATATGGGAAAAAATACACTAATAAATAATAAGACAAGAATAAACTGTGTTTCACATACTCACAGATATAAACCTACTTTTGCCACACACTGTGTGATTTCCACTTCTCTTAGCCTTATAAGCTTCAAAAATTATTCCTTTTTCAGTGCATCTGGTGTTAAGAATTAAATTACTAACATCAACTACCTGAAATAGCACGCTCATCTCTGTGTACAGGGATATTTACAAAGAAGTGTTCAGAGCTCCCATTTGCATTTTAAAGAGATATAGCAGTCAAAAAAGTTACAGATAAAAAAAAAAATTAGAATAGTCGGTAAAGGATATCAGTTTGATTTAAGTTGGAGATAAACAAAAATGTTTTAATAACTTATATTAAAACTGTGCAATATTAAGACCTACTTATATTAAAAATGTATTCGTTTGTGTGAAATTCAAATTTAACTGAGAGACCTGTACTTTCATTTGCTATCCACAGCAACCCTCAGTTAGAATGACTGTGCTAGATGTTCCTCCTTCTCCTCCTCATTCTCTTTCCCCTTACTTTTTTTGCCTAACATAGCAACATTTATTTTATATTTCAATTCAATCTCTCAATTTCTGAGTTTGAAAAAATACTCAATTATTTTATAGCATTTAATATTTCCCAAATATTCAAACATTTCATTTCTACTCTTCACCAGACTCTGTGTTTGGTATTGTGGACCAAAAGACGAACTAGGTCAAAATAGGCAATGTTGTTCTCCTGCAATATTCATAGGTTAGGGATAAGATCTACAATGATGGAAATAACTCCATGTTATGTAATGTAATAGGATGATGTAGGAGCAGCGGACAGCTGGCCCAACCTTCTAGGGTTGTGAGGCTTCACATAGATGCAGAACCTGTGAATCTTGAGTGATACAAGGATGTACCCCACCATGGAGAAATCAGTACAATGAAACCAAGAATAAGGCATAATGTAGAGGCTCAGTGAATTCTTGTTCACTGGGTTAATTTCAAAATAAAAAGTAGGCAGAGTTTTCTTGATAGTCTTTCAAAAGTTTCAATTAGGCTTAGAAAGATATTGTGCCAAGCTTAAACAAACTTACCTTTTAATATATTGATTTACAGCCTATAAAGATTTATAGAGATTTGCTTGTGAGTTTACAATAGTAAGCCTAAAAACACATTGCACTTAAAATGATACGTAATACACAGTCTGTTTATTTACAAACATCCCTTGCTAAGTAAAAGATAAGCTTTTTCCCCATTTTTAAAAAGAATTATTTCTTGTTCTAGCTGGTTTTCTCAGTGGTTAGAGCCTCTGCCCATGGACTGAAGGGTCTTGGGTTTGATTCTGGTCAAGGGCATGTACCTCGGTTGTAGGTTCAATCCATGCTGCCTGCTGAGGCATGTAGGAGGCAATCAATAGATGTGTGTCTCTCTCTCACATTGATATTTCTCTCTGTGTGTCTCTCCCCCTCCCTTCCACTCTAAAAATCAATGAAAAAAAAATATCCTTGGGTGAGGATTTTAAAAATATATTTCTTATACAATGTCTGTCTTTTTCACTAAATGGAAAGCCCCTGAAAGTTCTCTGTCTCTCTCTTTCTCTCATTCTCTCATTTTTTCTCTCTCTCTCACACACACACATACACACACACACACACACACACACGAGCATACTGAACAAACTGTGAATTTTGAGCAAGCATTCACAGTAGTATGCCATTAGATGTGTAATTCCCCTGGTGTTTTCAGTGATTAACTATGAATTCTACTTTGTAAACATCATTTCATAAGAGATTAAACAAATCCACTGTCTACAACTTTGTAATCATGCAACTGGATTTTTTCCCCAATCAATTACTGTACATTATAGAAGTATATTAGCATTATTTCTACTGTTACTATTTAAATTTTATGCGCCCCCCCCTCCAATATTCATAGGCCTACATCCTACACCCCTAGCACCTCAGAATTTGACCCTGTTTGGAAATAGAGTCGTTGAAGACAGAATTAATTGTTAAGATCAGGTCATAACAGAGTAAGATGGATCCCTGATCTGATATGACTGGTTCCCTCATGAAGAGAGGGAACTTAGACACAGACTTGCACTCAGAGAGAACATCTGATGAAGACGAAGGCAGAGATCTGGGCCAGCCAACAGAAGCCATGGAACCACCATAAGGTCAGTGAGAGGCATGGAACAGATTTGCCCTCGCAGCCCAAGAAGGCACCAGTCTTGGCATCACCTTGATGAGACTTCTAGCCTCTGGGAGTAGGAGGCAATAAGCTTCTGTTGTAAGTCTTCCTGTGTGTGGTATTTTGTTACGACAGCTCTGGCAAACCAAAGCAGTTGCTTTTCAGTTTTACTCTTCAAACAAATTTCTACCCACTCACATGTTATTTCCGTCCTCAAAGAGTTTTATAAAACAAGTTCATTTCGTCGGGTTTATGAAATACCTAAAGCCAATGCTGTGCTTCTTGATTCAAAAGCAAAAGTCATTCCCAGAGAAAGAGCCGATTCTTCTATTTGGTGCTTTTTGTTATTATTAAAGCAAACATAAGTTGAATGCTTTCTATGTTCTGGTCACTGTGCTGAGGTCCTTGCATGGATTATCTCATAAATGCCCCATCACAAATGTGCAACACTGTTATTCTCATTTCACTAATGTGTGAGTTGAGTCCTGAAGGTATTCTATAACTTAAAAAATAAAATAAAATAAAAGGTCACAGCTAATTATCAAGCCAGTACTCAAATTCCAAGTCAGCACACTTCACCACCATAATATTCTGCTTTAGAGTTGCAGGTTGTCAAACCCTAAGATTTAACCAAAACTAATGTGCAACAACTGAAAATATTCAGAACACATCCTTTGTAAAAGAAGAACAGTATATCCTTTTAAAAAGAACTGTTCTCATTAATTTCAAGTAACTTTGCAGAAAAAAAATTGTAGACACTGCTGCCATTCTCAGCTTTGAGCCTCCAAAGGACAAGGTTCCATTGGCTTTGGGTGACTTAGGGTAACTTTGATGCTCAACTTGAGAATCCTGGTAGAGGAGGGACAGGATGGTGTAATTCCAATATTCTTAACACACCCTCTCATTGAAAATTCCTGATCTAAATGACCTGTTCTTCGTACTCTATCATGTTATGCACTGTACCCAGAGGACAATTTTAAAGAAGACACTGTACCTTTGGCATGTTCTTAAAATCTCTTCCCAGGTTACATATTGTCA